AAACATATGTAGACCAGCTGGAATTCTATAGTTCCTGAATTTATCTTTCAACATTTTGTTTTAGAAAATGGGGGATATATGAATTCCCTGGATGACTGTGAATGTCTATATTTAATTAGGTATTTGCTTGGGATATAGGACTACCTAAACATTAAAATGTCAAAGGACACTTGACTTGCCATGGTCATTTTAAAGTGTGTTTATGCCCAATTTTCAAAAGGATTAACCACAAGTTCATAACATACAGGGACTAGTTTAACACAGGTCCAGAATTTTGTATTTAGATATTGTGCTTAGATTTGGAGTGAATGTTTGCCATACCAAAATGTAGTGCTTTGATCAGACATGTACTTAAAAGTTCAAAAAAATTGTTTGTTTGTGGATATTGGAGCAATAGAGCTGTACAACATGGACACAGACCCTTCGGCCCAACCCGTCCATGCCGACCAGATATCCTATGTAAATCTAGCCCCATTTCCCAGCATGTGGCCCATATCCCTTTTAAACCCTTCCAATTCATATATCCATCCAGATGCCTTTTAAATGTTGTAATCGTGCCCACCTCCACCACTTCCTCTGGCAGCTCCTTCCATATATGCACCACCTTCTGCATGAAAAAGTTGCCCCTTAGATCCCTTTTAAATCTTTCCCCTCTCATCTTAAACCTATGCCATCTAGTTTTGGACTCCCCCCACCCCTGGGAAAAGACCTTGCCTATTTACCCTATCCATGCCCCTCATGATTTTATAAACCTCTATAAGGTCACCTCTCAGCCTCCAACACCCCAGGGAAAATAGCCCCAGCCTTTTCAGTATCTTCCTACAGGTCAAACCCTCCAACACTGGCAATATCCTCTGTAAATCTTTTCTAAACCCTTTCTAGTTTCACAACATCTTTCCCATAGGAGGGAGACCAGAATCTCACGCAATACTCCAACAGTGGCCGAACCAATGTCCTGTACAGCCGCAACATGACTTCCCAACTCCTACACTCAATGCACTGACCAATAAAAGTTTTTCTGAAAGTTTGGGACTAGATAGCAAAAGCAAAGCACTTTCCATTAACATATTAGCTCATTTTTTAAACATCATGAATCTGAAGGAAGGCAAAGGATGGAAATGAGGTGTAGGTACTAGTACTGTTCAGTTTAGCATTCATTCAAAACTGGGCTGGTTCTTAATTATTTAAATTATTTGTTTTGTTCATTTGTCAATGTCGCTCAAGAGTTGAAGTAATGGGGTGATTTTACTGGCAGTGAAAATCTCTGTCCTGGTCAAATAAGTTCTATGGTTGCTGCTTTATTTTGACAGTAATGGTTGTTGTTTTAAATTAAAATGAGAACATTACATTTTTGACCATCCTTGGCTCAATCCACCATTTTGTTATGCAATTCATTTCATATATAGTTTATGTATAATATTGTGATGCTTTTGTTTTACATTGAGTTTCTTGATGGTGTTTTTGTTGGAGAGCAGTATTGCTGGTGTAATTTTCTCAAGTACATTTAAAACAATGCATTCTTCATTTATTACCCTCCAGTGGTATATGTAATTCTATTTATCCTGTTGCCAAGAAATGCACTCAGTCTGCCTGTATTTGGTACCAAGTGAAGTTTGTCTTTGCTATACTTGTTTTCTGTATCTAACCAAGACAGGTTAACTTTTCAATGTCAGTGTAGGAGTTTTTTATTTAAACTGCTAAACAAAAGACTATCTTGGGGATTATGGAGAACACAAATAATACTGAGCTTTGCCAAATAGTATTCAGGTTTATTTGCTTTGTAGTCAACTGGTTTTGTTTCTCTAATCGTTATGTATTTCATTTCCACCAAGCTGGTTCCCTTCTTAATGGCATGTGGCAAATCAGGTTTACAAGAGTAGTTGTGATTCAAGTGAGCAGGGGAAATTTACTTCTTCATTCTATACCCTCACATACCCCACAAGGAACCATTCAAATAACTTGAACTTTTTATGTCCACTGTGTACTTTTAAGGATTTTACGTTTGATGCATTCCAGTATGTGAGCTGACTTCTTCAGACCCTTGTGATAATATCTCATTATGACTGCTTCACTTTCTTTTTTCATGCTGTTGGTGCTAGTCACACTGGCATTGCCCAACGAAGTCAGTCAGATCTTATATTGTATTTACTTAGCCCAATTATCAGGGATTTCCTTCACTGAATTAAAGCTGTTTAATACTCTCTTACAAGCACTTCTGTCAGGCATAAGATACAGAAGCTTGAACCCATACACACAAACAGGTTCAAGAACAGCTTCTTCCCTGCTGTTATTTGGCTCCTGAAAGAATCTCTCTGATTTCAAATAATTGTTGATCTTGCTTTGTACACTTTCTGTGCAGCTGTAACCTTGTATGCCTCACTCTGTCTAAGCACGGTATGTCCTTGTACGTTATGTTCTGCCTGTCCTGCTCACAAAATAACACTTAGGTACACGTGACAACAATAAATCAATTTTATTTTACCAGGTACTGATTAAATACAAGCATAAAGAGGTATTTCCACAAACAGCGGTGGTCAGTGACTTTAGGACGATGGTGACTTTACCTTTACCTTCCTTGTGGGCCTCGAGATTCTGACATTAGTGATCTGTAAAAACCAAAAGGGGATTCTCTCCAGAATATGTAAATTAATTACTCTGGGAAGAATAGACAATGTGTAGAAGCACTGTTTTCAGAATTTCAGGAGAAATCTACTCCACTGTATTTAGTATTGAGGGGTCACATTCTAGAACTCTCTTCCTAACCTCTTCACCTTGCTTCACCCTGCCACCCATCAAAAGTTTCCTCAAAACCCATCTCTTTGTTTCCCACCATCCTTCCACTGCCTGATATCTGGGAATATTAAACAATAGAGGTACTACATAAACTCCAATGGCTCTTTCTCCTTATTTACATTGTAATTCACCATTTCAAACATCATCAAATGATACAGCACAGGAGCAGACCACTCAGCCCTTCATGCCTGCGCCACTATGAAGTATTTTGAGTGTTTTACGACATAAAGGACACTATATCAGTGCAGGTCTTGAGCAAATAATTCTGATTTAAACATTCTGCTCTAGATACCATATCATTTTGCTGTCCTGTAGCCTCTTCAAATGAGGATATTGCCAGCTCCAGATCTTAACATATCCCCCAACATTCATCAAATTTCATTAATCCCATTTTATGAATAAAGCTTTACATAAAACATTCTGCAATATCTTAATCTAGATAATCCATAGCCTTTCACTGCAGGAGGCCTTGTGTGCATTAATCTAGATTACACCATCATTAACATGACTGAATACATTACAAGGTAAAAGAACAATCAAGGGCGAAGTTTGGTTTAAATATCCTACAGCTGACTTAAAATAATTCACTTGCTATTTATTTTATAGGATTTATGTATACACTGAATTTATTGCAAAACATTTTTGAAGAATTGCCACTTAGTTGAATGAGCATGGTTCTGTTCATGCTCGTTTAATGGTCATTGAGTGATATTGCCCAATTAGTGTCAGTTAGTGACGAATAATATGTAGTCTCATGTTAAGATCCCTTATCAACTAGGAACTTGCCTGAGAAGCTCCTTTCACAAAGGCCCTAAGCAGCTGTTGGAGAGATGTGTATCCTATTTGTCTGAATTGGATTTAAAGCAGGCCCATAAATGATGAGGACAGATTTTAATCTGCTGTGCCGTCCAGTTCTTTCATGAATTTAAATCATTTCTAAAATTAAAGGCAATAAAAGAAAATCAGTTTTATCAGCTTCTAAAAATATTCCATATTTTGTACAGCCTATGCAGTATATTTTTCTGTAGTGCATGTTGCAGAATATTAATTGAAAAATGTGACTGACAGCAGTTTTATTTGAAGAAGTTAGCATAACAATTAATTTAGTAGGTAAGGATCAAATCTGAGTGATTAGATACGAATTGTATTTGGCAAGTGTTTATAAAATTTGGATCAAACTTACTTGCCATTGTTATGCAATATATTTGAAAAGCCTAAGGTATGAAACAAAATCCCAACCTGGGCTGTAAGTGTAGTGGTTTTAGGTGCAAGTTCTAAGATCAGTGCCCTTTTTAATCCTTCTACTGGCCAATTTGTACATTAGTGACCATCTTATCGGTAACACTCCTTTAAAGAAGCATTGAACAGACGGAAAACTTCATCCAATTTTGTTAAGACAAAATATAGGAATTTCTGAAAATTGGTTAGTTATGTCTTTTTAAAGGGAAGGAAGGAATATGATTATTCCTCAAACCATTTTTTCTAGTCATCATTGTCACCATCACACAATTGCATCATTGTCAATTTGAGTTCTGCATATTACTGTTGTCACCTTGCTGTGTCAAATTCTGTTTTAACCAGTTATCCAGTTCTTAATAGGTTTTGGTCAGCTATTTGTATCACTTAAAATTAGTGAATAATCAGGAATGATGATATTAGTCCTGTGATATTAGTCTTATGTTTCTAGTTTAAAATGTTTTCTAATTTAATTTCTTATGGTGCTTTATATTAAAAAATAATTTTCTTAAACTTTTACCACTGTCAATTGTTGTAAAATAATGAGAGAGAAAATCTAATATTTTCAAATCATGCCTTAATGTTTGAGTTCAAGGGAATATTGGTTACTGGTTGCACCTGAATTCAGTGGTTACCTACTGACTTATGTCATAGAAGGGTGTACAGAAGAAGTCCACCTGTTATATACCTTGTAAATATAGTTCACTTTTAGTAGTTCAGCTAATTTGCTGAATTCTTATATCAATATTTAATCTTCCTGCTGGGATATATGTGAAAATAAAAATAGGCTGGAAATCTTAACCCCAAATGTGTAGAGTGAGGAAAAGACGAATGTTGAATCTTTTAAACCGTTGTTGTAGGTGATACAAGAAGAATACTTGTTTGGTGATGCAAAAGCATAGTGCAGCAGTTAGTGAGAGAACTATAATTAATACAAATGAAAAAAATGTTTAATTTCTTTTCTTGCATAGTGACACAACTACAAACAAATCTGACCACAGTGCAGGAGCTTCTGGAACAGCAGCAAGAAAGGTTACAAGAGCTGTCCCAAGAACTGACTGGTACCAAGGTAACTATCGTGACAAAGTCAGAATACTGTATTTCAAAAAAGGTCTATGCCCATTTGTATCTAAGTGAATTTGGGATGTCAATCATAAGAAATCAGAGTAGGAATAGGCTATGTGGTCCCTCAAGTCTGCTCTGCAAATCATTGTAAAACGTATCTGTAATATGCAAAATGATCATGAAACTGGTGGGAGGGGACAACTTGATTGAACGTAATCTTCAACTTGTTAGATATGTTTTAATCAAACTGTTCAGAGATGTTAATACACATCACTGAAGCAGGTGAAAGTTGAACTAGGGCCTTCTAGTTCAGAGGAAGGGACACTACCATTGTGCCACAAGAACCCAGTTTCCAACTTGTACTTCCGTTATCTTAATCTGTTTGTTTCTTCCAGAGCTGTGGGTTGGTTATAAGGTTGTGACTGTATCAAATATTTGCTTCAGATCACTAAACAGTGACCTCCAGATTGAGGTGCAGCACCAGCTACTTCATGGAATCCATCAACTTCTTCAAAGAAACCCATTAATATGAAACATATGCCTTGGATGTCTAGTGCCTTGGTTGATGCACTGCAACATTTAATAAGCTATTACTACAGTCACTTTGTGTGTGTGTCCCTTTGATTTCCTTGAAGCTTTCTTTTCTTCCCTTTGCAAACAATTAGCAAATTAATTGTGTCATTACACCAAAAACATTCCCTTTGGCTTGTGCAAGACAGAAATTTGGAAAGAATCATTGAAGTTATTTAGTTATTTGGGCACTACTGAAGTTCTGCTCTGAGTTTAGTTCCAGCAAGCTTGCCTCTACAACCTAATCACTAACAGCACAAAAAATTGCTGCCAGTGAGTTATTTTATGTCAACACCACTATTCCCCAAATGGTATAGCATTTGTAAGGAGGAAGGGAAAAGCAAATAGGAAGAATAGTAAACTTGATACTGGACAAATAGATCACAAAAGCTGAAGCAAAACAAAAAGCAAATAAATGGAGAACTCCAGTTAAAGTGTAGTTATTCTTAAGCAATGTGTTTAGAAATGTTGTAACAGAATTCTGGGGCAGTTGGGATTCGAATCTCTTGGTCCAGATATAGGGACGTTACCACTGTGACACAAGAGCCTCCAAAGCAGAGTGTTTATCCTTTGATCAATAAAAGAAATTGAGGAGGGAGTGTAACTCGAGTGAAATTAATCAAACGAGGATAACAGATTGGGCTGACATTTTGTAAGGATGAATTATCTAAACTTTAAACCATGGAACTCTGTCCAGTTATAGCTTAACTAGACTGCATTTATCAGATGATCAGCTGGATGTCTTTCCATATCATTGAATTAGAGCATCTTTATCTTAAGTGGGAGAAAAAGAAATGCCAAGACTGGATATCACCCCTATCATTTACTTCATGTTAGCATTTGTGTTGTTCAAAGCCCAGACCAGTTGATGAAGTAAAAGTTATTGTCCATGTCTATTGTGTTGTGCCTTTTCTACATTTTTCTTTATCTCTTCATGTCCCCCTCCATCCAACCCATCCCGAAATATCCTGCTGACTTTCAGCATCAGGCTGCCACAGTGACTATTGCATGATCAAGCAGGGGGGAGGCTATAGAACCTATAGAACTTCACCCTAAGGTGTGCCACACTTTTAGGAGCAGAAGGAAAACATGCCTTTAGCCTAATATGGTCAACTGTGACTCAGCAAGACACATTCTTCCTCTGAGTCTCATTCCCAAGACTCCAACACAAAAATCCAGGCCGATGTGCCAGTGTAATAATTGAAGGGTTGGTGAATTGGCAGTGTTGCCATCTTTGGGTGAGTGTTAAAATGCTCCTCAGATGTACACAAAAGATCTTGCAGCACTGTGTCCTGGAAGAGCAGAAGAATTGTGCCCATTGTCCTGGCAAATACTTATCCCTCATTCAATATCACTAAAACCTTGTTATCTGAGATTCTCCAACATCTGCAGTTCCTACTATCTCTGTAACTAAGTTTTTGGGTTACTGAAGCTAGCTGAAGAGCTGCTAAACGGACATGATAAATATGCAACTCCCACAAGTCAGGAGAATGTTGGAGATGTTTAGGCCAGCATAGCTTGTGTATGTTCCTTCAACAGCATATACTGAATCTCCTGAAATCCACAGGGAAGGATCCTTCTCAAAGACACTGCCAGCTAAGAGCTGGAGAAGCACTCCAATTGACACAGGAACTTAAAGGAACGAACAAGCCACGTGCTGGTCTGAAATCACATACTGTGGTGGGGACATAGTCCACATCCTACTAACAACTGCCCCAAACCCCTCAGGGCAGTGGAGTAGCAGTGTTCGGGCCTGGGGCCTGTCTGCTTTCATCTGAGATAACAGGGTGTGGAGCTGGATCAACACAGCAGGCCAAGCAGCATCAGAGGAGCAGGAAAGCTGACGTTTCGGGTCTGGACCCTGTCTTTTTTTACTCTCTCTCTCTCTCTCCTTTGCTTTTTTTTTCTTCTTTATTCCTTTTTTTCCTTTTTTCCTTTGTCAGTGGCGTAGGTCCCTTTCACAGATTGTGAGCAGCAGCGGGTGCGGCCCCTTTCCCGAGGGCTTGGCAGCAGCAGATTCCTTTGCTGAAATGGCGGTCCAAGGAAACGGCAGCAACGTAAGCCAAAAGAGGCGCAGGCAGCTTCAGTGTGGCGGGCCTAGCATCAGGTTTGAGCCCAATTCAGGACCCACTCCTTCAGCGGCCGCTGCATTGCCAAGACTGGCCCAGCGCAGACTCATGGCGACGATCACGTTGCTGGAGGCAAGATGACGCCAACGAGTGGTGATACAGTAGCAGCGGTGGCCGCAGGCCGTGGCTGGGCCACGACCTGACAGTGGAGGCATTCTGGTTGTGCTGATGTGCAGGGACTCGGGGCACCTGAGTGTTCGCAGACTGAGGGATTTTGTTTGTCGCTTTGTGTTTCTGGCACTGAGGATTCATGGAGGAGTTGGGGGGAATGATATGGATGTTTCCTTTTCTTTTGGCCCTTTCTTTTATTTCTACTTCTTCTGTTTTTAATTCTGTCTTTTGTATACTGAGATTGTGCTGGAGGATGGTGACTTTGTACACTTTTCACTGTACTCCTTTATTCCTATACTTGAGTACACGTGACAATACAATCCAAATCAGTGATTTGCCACCAGTTGACTGCACATATCACCATCTACAACCTGGTAACTGATCCAAGTGAGGGTCCAGGAAATAGTCTAACATAGAAAATCTGGTCAGTCTGCAACTGGTCAAGGATAGGCTGGGAAGATGTGGCCACTTGCTCCAAAATTGGAACATGAGAAACTGCTCCAGTTGTGACAATGGACATCAGAGTCAGGCCATCACCACCCTGTGCCCTGAGAGATGCACTCCTGATGGCATTGTATCCATTCGCACTATCAGCTGAAGCTGTTGAATGAATTCTTAGCCTCAGTGTCAAACTGTAACTGCTTTCTGAGCTGCATGAATAACTAAAAAGCTCCTACTCTCTCCCAGTTCAGCTCCATATCAACTTTTGTCTTATACTGTTGTGAAGTGCTTTGAGATACTTCTCGTGGAAGTGGTTGTGTGCTGGTAATGTTGCTGGGCTAATAATCAAGCACTCAACTAACGTTCTGGGGAGCAGAGTTTGAATTCCACCACGGCAGATGGTGGAATTCAAATTTAATTTTTAAAATCTGGAATTTAAAAGCTAGTCTAGTGGCAATCATTTCAATTGATGTAAAAACCCAGCCTGTTCACTAGTGCCCTTTTCAGGAAGGAAATCTGCCATCCTTTCCTGGTCTAGTCTACATGTGACTCCGGACCAACAGCAATGTGGTCAGCCCTTCACTGCCCTCTGGGCAATTTGGGACGGCCAGTGACACCCACATCATCCATGAATGAATGAAAAAAATTAAAGACCTTTAGAAATGCACATTGTTGTCAAAGCAGATTGTTGAATTAAAGTTCATGGCCTCTTTTTTTTTTCCCGAACTGAAATACCTCAACAGTGAGGACCTAGAAGGGAACTTCAACAAATAAGAAGTGTAACTGTAGAAAGCTATCTAACATTTCTGTGCTATATCTATTGAACATTCACAATTGAAGTGCTTCCCTGATTTTGGTTTGAAAGAGAAGTGGAAACCTCTAATTGTTAACACTTAACAGCCATAGAAAAATGATGTCTGCTTACTGGGGCAAGTATATATAGAATTAACACATTCTTCTAAAATGCAAAGTTTATTCCAGTGATGTTTGCCTTAATCAACTTTAGACCCTCATGAGACTAATGTTATTACTGACTTGAACATGCACAAGATTCATTCAGTTCCTTTCAAACCATCAGAAAGCATCAAAGGTTCTCTGATGTGTTTCTACAGTCTGTTAACCTATAAATCTGCACATTTCTCTCCAGCTTGTGAGTGATGAAAGTAAGAAACGATGAGTGAAGCCAAAAACTGGGGGTCTGAATATAAACAAAAAAAAATTATATAGTTGTGGTGCAAGTCATCATTGATTCCTTGCCAGTCTTCCAACTGTCCAGCTGCATGCAAGCATAACCTCCCTCAAAGATCCCACTTCAGACATAGGCATTCATCTGTTTCTTTTATGCTGAAGTTATACTCTATGGCCTGGAGTTTGTGTTCAAATAAGTATTAATGCCACTAACAGTTGACATCTAAGTAACTTGAAAACTTAACCAAGTTGTTGGTACAGGTGAAACTCCACAAGGAGCGAGGATTCCCTCACTGTGTGAATTTGCTTTATTATGGCTCTGCAGAAATTATTAATACAGGTGAAAATAGCAGAGCTCAAGGTGCAGTAAATAGAAGGAATGCCCAAAGAAACTTCAAAAGGGAACTGCTGCAGTATCTGTCAAAACTGATTCATATTAGAGTAATTTGAACAAAAGATTAAGGCAGAATTATTCTATACATTATGCATACAAGTTTACATCATTTTTAAAAGCTAAATGATATTCATTTTAAAAGTTCATAAATGTATACACATTTTTATAGAA